GAGATATGCCATAACTCTATATGGGCTGGAAAACAGTATCCTTCTGTTGCCGGGTGATTCTAAGCAGCAAACATTGGCAGTCATCTGCCTTGCCCTGTTCCAGTTACACTCAGCAATGCACTCCAGTGCATGGAGGGGAGGGAAAAAGGAGCAGAAGAGTATGTTGGAAGGGGTCAAGGCTCCTTTCATCTTCCACCAACCCCATTCCTATGTTTGAGTAAGAAATGGTGAAATCACCCCATAGACCTCCAGCCTTTCTTAGCACTGTAAAGAAGTGAAACGCAGAATTCATCGCTGCTGAATCTGAAGCACTCAGATTCATACATTCAGACTCTATTATAAGCCAAATATGAGATGTGTTACGTTGCCCTTAGTCTCAGGTTTTGTTCGTGGAGCACTGTCTATGAGGTCAGATGTCAGTATAAGGCCATAGAAGAACCAGAAATTATCTCTGAGCGCTGCACACAAACTTCTCCTAGCCCACAACAAAAGACATCCATTTGGGAACCCTTTCTTTGACCAAGGCCTTTATACACAGGTCATCTTCTCATAAGAATCAAATTATTTTTCATAATCAAAGATTTCATATGGTCACACTGATGAGGGAACTGATCTGTGACTATTTCCTTTAATGTCTGTTTTCAGTCAAGTGCTTTCAAAGTTAGTGTAGAAGCCTGAAGTAGAGTAAGAAGGTTTTGGCTTCTTCTATCACTGCAGGAGATTTGTCATTTCTGAGTAGTGTGCCCCAAAATAATTTTGTGTGAAATGAGAAATAAAATAATTTCCTTTTTTCCAGAAATCAGAATATTTCTTTTGGATCTGCTGATTTTCAGATGAAAGGTCTTTTCTTTTTTTCCCTGCAGGAAAGCTAACGTTTGCAGAAATCTTCAATTTCCATTAAGCAATGATTCTGAAGGATAATTAGAATTTAATTTCTCTGACCAGTATCCTCAGAGGCATTCAGATGCCTTCTGCTTCACCAGTCTTGTTTCACACAAACAGAAGTAATAATCTTTTCCTGGTTTATCCAGATGCTGAAAAGCTGAGTCCTTTTAAAACTGTGCTGAGCTTCTACAGTGGTTAGTCATGGCCCTAAAGGGAGAACCATTAGCAATCTCCCTTTGGCTTTCCCTTCCACCCCATCTCCTCCTTTTCCTTGCTTTGCATGGGTGCTTGGGTTCTGCCTCCTCTGAAGAGCTTCAGCTGAGCCCATTCTATACCCACAGGCAACTAATAAAGGTCAATCTCAGATATAATGAAAGGGGACAATGAGTTTGCTCTGGCCGCTCCTAGTTTCCCCCACTGCTTCTCACAAGCTCTGCAGGTTCTTCTGGTTCCTCCACCAGGCCTAATGTTAGGGGGAGGCTGTTCCCACCACCATCCCCAGCTGCTCTTCAATAGTCACGTCCTTTGAAGATGCGCTTAGTTATCATGTTATTTCAAAATACCAAAGGTCACATTACCTTTCCTTTTCCCTTCCTGCTGGAAAGCAAGGGCAGGAGCAATTACTGAGTAAACAAGAAGGAACGGGTTTGCAGAGTGCTGCAATGAAGCTCTAAGGGACCAGACTGGCCTGTTATAGGCAGAACTTCCTTTTACCCAGCTCACTATGCAAATTGAAGCCTCGTGGGCAAGAAAGTGGCCCTAGCACAAGGCATTTTCCTTACTGTGCTTGCCCTTTTGTCACAGGAAGTCTGGTTAGATATCCAGAAAAGGGCATTCATGAGGCAATAAAACACTCACATTTCCCTGCATCTGTTACCCAAAATTCTGTGCTGGTGTGACGGAACTGATTTTCAGCCATCAGCTTAAACCCTAGGAGGCAGTGCAAATCACACGTTTGAGATTGTGGGGAACAAACATATAAGCAAACCACAGACCACCCCAAATTCCTGATGACCCTCTGCCAAAACAGAAAGTAGAGCTGTCTCAGATTCCTCCTTTTCCACCCTACTATGCAACAAGTATTCTACTTACTCTTTCTGTGATTCCTATGGGGCATGCTGGCCCTAGGACAAGAACTGCAGTTCTGCTCAGTAGTTGCATCATGTAAATAGCAAGTCTACCTCTCTCCCTCCATCACCTAGCTACAGTCTGGGTAGAGCTGGGCCCTTGAGAAACACTTCTATGGGCCTTCTGAAGAGCAGGTGGTCTGATGCACAGAAAGTACATTAACACTAATGAAGATAAAGAATTTCACAGAAAGATAATTGTTTGCCTAGCAGCTGAATTTATTTTCATTCTCAAGCTGTAATTAAAGGAAAAGTTGCAGTTCTAAAATGAAATCTGCTTTTCCCTCCTTTTTTTCTTGCCTAATAAGCAGAGCAAGAAGTTGATTCATTTCTATCTGCAAGGTAAAAACGTGTCGTTTTACCCACACCTGATTTGAGCACATGAGTTTTACCAAAATGAGTGCAAGAGAGATAAACAGCTGGAGAAACCTGAGAAAAAAAAAACAGTGAGAAAAAAAAAAAAAATCCCGTTTACCAGAATCTTGCATGTCTGGGGGAAAAAGAAAAAAAAAAAAGAGAAAATCAAAATGGGACTTTCCCACTGAAATGTCAGTGTGAAGAGTCAGCCATTGACAAGCAAGATTGCATCTTGAGATGCTGGGCAGTGAAGGCTCTTTTTCCAACAGCACGGAAAAGTGAGCAAGTTCCATGAACCCGGATGTTGGTGTTATGATTTGCTATTTGTATGTGTGTAATGCTTAGTAGATGTAAACTTAGTAGTCTAGGAGTCACATCAAACTTAAGCATGCCAAAAACCAAAACTGGTTTCAGATTGCTGAGAGCTGCACAAAAGAACAAAGAAACACGGAACAAAAAGGAAGTGTCTGCTCCAGAACATTTGCAATCAAAGCAGAAGACAGGTAAGCAGAAGAAGTAATTCCTTCTGGATACAGAAAGGGCAGGAAAGGGAATGGACAAGGTAATCAAGAATAATGGTCAGTTGTGTCATGAGAACAGCACATAAGCCATGTCAAGTTCTTGTATATGTCTCTACTGGATGAAGAGGTTTTGCTAAATGAGGAGAAGGAACTCTATGTTGTACCAAAATCAGAGAGATCCATTGTACAGGGACAAAATTACGGCCAGATGAATATGCTTCCAGGCATAGAAAATAACGTGCACCTCTGCAATGGTCTGCCCTGATATGACAAGCATTTTTTTTAATTTTGGATCAGTTGAATTCATCTTAAAAGAAATAAGTTTTGGTTTTCTTTTGAAATAAACAATAATATTCAAGCACAGATACCAGAACATATTGAGGTATACAAATTAAATGGGAATAGATGTCTGAATCTGAGCCTCACATTCACTCTAAATTGATATTCATGAAAATAAAGGTCAGTCTCTTGCAGGACTGCAAACGCTGACCTCCTGGATCAACCTTCTAGTGTATATAGAATACAAACTTTTCCCTCTTGGTGACTAGGTTCAAATGTGCCAGAAGAAATGATAGTCATTTGAAGGAAAGAGAAGAGCCACCCACCCATCTTTGCTTTTGTTGAATACCTATTCTTAATTTAGCTAACTAAAGATAGGTTTAGAGTTTTAAGGAAGAAATGTATCCTTCCCTTCCTCCCTCCAGCTACCTGGAGAACTCTCCAACTACTTCTTGGAATCTCACTAAAATTTCAGGATTAAAGTAGCCTGTGAGCACACATGAGCCAGGCAGGAACATGCAGTTATTTGATGTTACAAATGCAACTGCACAAACACACAGATCGTCAATTACCTAAAGCGCTCAGATGACTGACCCCAAAGCTGAACATTTTATGTGTTCGTTTCTCTATCTAGAGCTCCTCCAAAGACCCCAAAGCCTGAAATTGTTTGGACACAGGTTCAACTTTTGATGTCAGGAATTCTTTACAGGTTGTGAACATGAGGATGAATGAATAGGTTGGTGTTCTGGATGTGAACCAGTCAGACCTTTATCAAGCAAGGCAAGTAAGTATATGCTTAATATAAACTGATGAGTAATTTCAGTGATTAAACTCAAGTTTATTATCAAAACAGCATTCTGATAATGATTTATTGTTTTCCAGAAATATTTTTCTAAGAAACAGCTTTTGCTAGAAGGATTGCCTTTTCCTCCTTCCTACCAAATACTTCAGGTATTTTCTGTTTCTCTTTCTGTGCTTTCAGTTCATCCAAGTTGAGCAGCAATTTTTGGCACATCAAGCACATTAGATAATTATATGTCAGTTGAGAAACTATCAGCTTCTTGTCACTAGTCTATAAACCTCTCTGTAATGTTGTAATACAGTATCACTGATATCTCAATGAGATAACATGTTAAGTGTCTACTGGCTATATAATTTGAACCAAAAGTTAACAAAGAGAACTGATCTTTCGGTAAACATACAGTATATTTTTGTCATCTCTTCCTGATAGTGGTTGTGATAAGCAGATTTAAATGTGGTGTTATCCTCTGATTGCTTTTGCAGTGTACATGCAAGACAGGGAACTCCTTCATAATTCCTCAGATGGATGCTTGAGAGGAATTTCCCAAGTACCCACAGATCAAAGATTGCTCCCTGTAAATGGTGATGGTTGCAGATATTACAAATCCACCCAGACATTTTATTCTTCCTCATTCTATAAACCCTTGCACTGGCCAATATGGAATCCCATTAGGTGGGAAGGACAATTTTAAGCAATCAAGAGTAGCATGAAAACCTCAGATTGCTCATTAGGGACCAGATTGTGAATGAGGGGTAATGACAGAGGTCTATGAAATCAAAGAGGCATGGAAATTGAGAGCAATTGTTCTCTGTCTCTTCCAAAACAAGAGCAAGGGGACATTAAATGGAACATGGAGGAGACGGGTTCAAAACAAACAAAGGGAAATGATTCTTCATACAATGTATAATTAAGCTGTGGAACTCCTTGCCACAGGATGTTGTGGATGCTGTAAATTTACATGGGTTCAAAAAGGACTGGACAAGTTCATGAAAGAAATTCTTCAAGAGCTATTAAATACAAAGACATTACCTCTGGCTCCGGAAGGCGCTGACATGCAAATCTCAAGATGTTGGGAGAGTTCTCTAAGGAAGTCTCACTTTGCTGTTTTACTTTTCCCCAAGTGTGTATTCAGTGTTGGCCCCTGTCAGGAAGAGGTAAATGTGTTAGGTGGGTCATTGTATAGTTGGTACAACTCTTTTTATGTCCTTAGTTCTTACAGCTGTCTTATTCAAGGAGCAGACCAGGTGGTGTCCAGTGGTAGACATACTGTTCACTTCTTAATGCTCTTTCTCTGGCATAGAGCAGTAATTTGAAAATGGGTGTATTGCTAAATACTTTTATTTTGAGGCAGTGTAGCTGCCTGGAAGGTACAGAAAATTGAAGCCTGCTGGCTGCCTCTGAGAGAGAGGGGGATGCAGTGGCCTCTCAGGGGCATCTCTCCTCCTTGTGCTCCAGTGCAAAACATGGGTAGGCTTGTGTCAAGAAGAAGGGTGCCTCTCTCAGATCTCTACCTCTCTGGGCAAATGGGCTGTACAACCAACCACCCCAGTCCTAAATATGTAGTGATTCAGCAGTAGAAACACACATCATTTGGGATGCTTGGCTATGTGAAAATTGGCTGGGAAATCCCCCAGGTTTTCATTCCAGTTACTTCTGGCACTTGGCAAGCCTGCCCTGAATAGAAGTTAGTCTGGGAATGATAAAAAAGTGAGGAAAAGTCAGGAAAAACTGACTCCATCCTGCAGAACACTGCCCGGTGCCCTACCCAAATAGCCTCTCCATTTGAACAAGCCTTGGAGGGAAAAATATCCCCCCCTCACTCCTACCAATTCCTAACAGCAGGGTTTGAGGAGGGTTAACGCAGGGAACAAGTCCTGTCCTGCACCCAAGTACTCCTTCATCTGCATAGGCTAAACACCTTGTTAGCCAACCCCTTGGTCCCGCAGGCTTACCCATTTTTGTAGGCTAAATTAACACTTAGGTGGTGGGGAGCCAGAGAGCTACTGCAAAATTAAGCCAGGCTGAGTGATGTACACCCCTCTCCCGTGGGACCTGACAGCTGAAGAGGAAGCTTAGCTGCAGGCCCATTGCAGGTATCCCAGATTGGTCACCCCAGAAGTGTGGAGGCACACAGAAATGGAAATCTTCACTGCAGGGTTTAACCTTGGGGTTTCAAAAGCCATTCCCCTCCCTTCCCAGCACCCCCTAAAAAGCCTTTTGGGCAAGGAAGGCAACTCTTCAGGCTCCACAGGTATTATTATTTGGAGGCCTGTTTTGTGTTTGAGTTGGCTGCTCCTTGGGTTCACCTAGGTATTTTAGTGCATGCATGCCTGGGTGTATATTGAATGTGCCTAATAGCTGCAGTAGGTGGAGAGGGAGGAAGCTGAGCTCCAAATGATGGGAACTACTGGAGGGAGTTGTCTTGCCACTGGCATGCTGTCAGCATGCCAATAAATAAGAAAGTAGAGATGATCAGAGGCAGCTATCTAAACAAAATAGGGTGAAAACTCCCAGCCTGCGTGGCAATCAGGCATAGGAAATTCATCCAGTGGCCATCCAGTTTCTTCCCATGGTTCAGGCCTGGTATTCTGTGAAACATGAAACAGTCAGAAAATATCCCTCTGACCCAGAAAGATCCCTGTGGCTGCTATCCTTTCTGTCGTAACTTTCCTGCTGCCAAATGCCACTCAGAGGATTGTTAGTGGGAAACACAAAATGAGAAGTGATTCAAAGGCATCACAAGCTCTTTGCATGTAGTTTTGCAAGCCACTGAGCAGCACTATCCCAATTCTGGACAGAGTTGCTTCTTACAGTGTTGCGAATCACTGATGAATTTATTGATGCTCTAGCACTCGGTATTTTATCCTTGTACAGGCACAAACCTGGATCTTGATGTCAGTGAGGAAATCAGCAACCAGGGGCAGGAAGATATAGAAACCATTCAGTTATCTTCTCAGCGAAGCCTGCATGGGCAGGTAGTCTCAATAGCCTGCTGATTAAATGCATAACTGCTCTAGGAATTATCCCAGTTCAAAGCCGCAGTATCCCCAATAGGTAGTGATGGAGGTGATTCTAGGTATTTCACCTCTTGAGAAAATAGTAAAGCTGAAATGCAGAGATTACTCTGCTCATCAGTGTCTTCTGTGCTCCACCTTTGCATAAAATGTCTAAATAAGACAGAATTATTCTGCATTTTAACTTTAATCCATTCAAGTGGGAGACACAGACCTCTTCCAGTTAAGTCTGGGAAGACCTGAAATAAAGCCTCCAAGATACCAAGTGAGTGTTTCAAGTGGCTGTTGGAGATACAGTTCGTGGACTCTCAAGCAGGTTGTGAAACCTGAATGAAAGATGGTATCTGCCTGTAATCTTGAGTTGGGCACCTGGCTTCCTAAGAAAGAAGGAGAACAACGCCTCACACCTATCCTTGGCTTTCCTGCCACCAAACTGGGCTTTTACCTTGTGCTGCCACATGCTAAACCCTTTTGGAAGTGAAGTGCTTGATGCCCCCACGCATTGCATAAGAAGCTTACTTGCCTAAATTAGGCAACCCAGTATCAACAAAGCTCCTAAAAATCAGAAGCTTCTAAATTCAGTGCTGTAAATCCTTCTGTAGATGTGGATCTTTGATATCACAAATGACAGAAGAGCTAGAATAGATTAGAATAGAAAAGAATAGGAGCTTTAATCCTTATTCATTGGTATCCAGGATCTTTAATATCTACAGCCTCTCTGAATCAGGTTAGTTTATTTAACACAACTCAGATACACTTGATCTGCTAAAGCTGGCAGCTGCCTTGTTCCTCAGGCATACTGTTTGTCATCTTTTACACATGAGAGCTCTGCCGTCTGTCTGTCTCCGTCCCTCCCTTCAAACAGCTGGTATTCAACTCTTCCCAGGGACTAGCTGAAGTAGACACATTCAATCTTCCCTCCCCTTAAATGTATTAACTACGGCAAATCGTGTACCATAAACACAGTCATAAGACTTCTGTGTTCAACTACAAACCCCCAGGTCTATGTGCCAATGACAGATACTCTGTAAATAAACCAGGCTTTGCCTGGCCAACTGGTGGCATTTGCAGACTCATCAAGAAGCAGCTGAGATTTATGTTCAGTAATGATTTTGCAAAACACAAATCAAACAGAGAGCTCAGCCACAAACCCCACCAAAAGAATCTTCAGCTTCACCAGATTTCAACAAGAACTGTTAAAGCTCTTCAGTGATTTATGGGGATAGGAAAAATAGCTTGTATTGTATATTTGAAGACACCTTTAGTTGGACATTCTGGATATGTATAAGCACAATCACCCTATGTTTAGAAATATGACTATAGATTAAGTGGAGTATTGAGAAAGGCTATTTGGATGATCAGAAAGATGGTCTACTTCAAAGGAGGAGACAAAAGGGTGGTCTAAGGATCAAAGGAGAGAGTGTCCACACCAAGGTGACTCAGCTCGGATGAGGAACAGACTAGAGCTGACATCAATGTGGTCACAGTGTTTGCAGGAACCCAGATCATACCACTGCAGTCCAACACACTATAATACATATATATCAAGTTATTTCCCAGGTGTCTTTAGTGCTACATCAATATAACATGTCTGAACACAACTTGTTGGATTAAAAATGCTCAGCAACAGAAGATTATAGGGGCTGGAAGTGTCTTATAAAAATATAGACAGAGATAAGCAAGGGAGAGTAAGAAAAGCTCTCTGAGATAAAGGCCAGTGCTCTCACCGGAACCAATGGGATTTATCTAATGGGTGTGATTGCAATCAAGATCTATACAGCTTTAGATATGTAAGGGGAACAACAAAAAAAAAAAAGCCCAAAACAAGACCACGTGAGTTTTGAGATGATCAGCTGGTGAAAGGTATTAGTGTTATGACTGCCTGTGATGCTTTGTGAGCTAGAGAAAGCTGCACCACACACAGATGTGTTGTGTGTCCTATTTACTCTAGAACAGGAAACACTTCGCCGGAATGGTGTGTTAAGTTCACTGCATCACCTTAGAGCAGAAGTTGTATGGGGGAACTTCTTTTCGTGCCAAAGGATGTCAGGAATGTGGGGGCTTTAAACATAAACTATGCGTTTCTAGGATTTATATTACCTGCTTAGGAGATACTTGTGAATACAAAGTCAGTGAGGGCAGACACTTTCCATGCTAGGGTTTAGATCTCAAGCCCATGTCCAGTATCTCACAGACTCAGCAGGGTGTGCCTAACCTGAAGATAAGCATTCCCACAGAGAAGTTCCATCGGTACGACCGTGACCACCTTGAATATGCCCTCACCTACATCTTCCTGAGGACCCATCTCAAGGGCTTCCATACTTAGACTTTCTTAGACTATGCGTCTCTCTCTTGTGCTAATAGTGGGAAGATTTGCCTGGACCTTTCTTTCCATGCCTGGACCTCAAGAAAGAAGCTGTTAGCAGGACAGTGTGCAGGGACTATTTGTATTGGAGGAATGTTTCTCTCACCCATGTCCTGAGGAACAGCTTTCACCTCCAAGGGGAATCAGGCTCTAACCCAGCTGAATAAATGCCTTCAAGCTTAAACTGTCTCCCAGCAGAGGTGAAGGTGTTTCTTTTTTCCTGCAAGGATGATAAAGCACTTCAGATTAGAGTTTGGGTAGCTTGTCTATATAAAGGAGACAAACCCTAAGATAACACCCAAAGTATTCTATCCCACGAAACTCAAACATGTAACTTAACTCAGAAGCTGACAGCAGCTTTTATTTTTTACAGGTTGTTTTTACTGCTAAATTACAGATATTCAGGTTTGCTGAGAAGAGTAGAAGTTTACTTCCTGTAGCAGTGAAAGAGCAGAAATAAGTCTGAGACATGGTGAAGGTTTTCATTAACAGAATAAAGTTTAGTATTGCAGGAACTTAAATAGTGCCAAAATAATGCTAGAATGCTTTTTTGCTCACTTTTAAAACTATCATTTACATTATTCCAAGAGATTATTTTGTTATGAAAGACTGTGCTTCTCCTCCCCGACAACTTCAGTTCGGGGTAAATCTAGTGTGAATGCCTAAGAGCCAGGGAGTAATACTGATTAGAAGTGCCTTATTTTATATTCTTTATTGCCCAGAAAAAAAAAAAAACACACATAAAGCAAGAAGCATAAAAAA